GTGAGAAAAAGAAGTGGGGCCGTTGGGCGACACGAAGCAGACGCGAAACACAAATTAATACGCCTGGCAAGCAGGGATAACGAAAGCTTTTCAAAATTAATAAAACAATCAGTACAGAAAACGAATCTCGACAACTAAACAGATGGTCAACGATCCCGGGTCTGTGATACATCAGTCGCAGCCCGACATATCTACAGAATCGCCATCAAATATGTATCGCTCCATAGAAATCAGAATTCTACTTTGAGTCAAGGGCATGAAGGATAGTCACGTCCAACGCTGAGGGCAGTGTCAGCAAAAAATAAATAAATAAATAAATAAATAAATAAATAAAAAATAATAATGTAAGAAAAACACACAACCCCAATGAACTGTTGCATAAGCAGTTTCTGATAAGGTGGTGACATGATGAACAAACTCACAAAAAAGGCACGTGCAAGTTACAGATTTTACTCTCGAGAGATACCTACACTACACGTACCTATCATTATAATCAGTCTGGTCTGACTAAAGAGCTGTGACTATGGACGGTAAATGTTTGAAAGTAAAAGAAGGAGAGATATGGACGATAAACGTTAGATGGGAAAAGGAGAGATATGGACGATAAATGTTTGATAGGAAAAGAAGGAGAGATATGGACGACAAGTTTGACAGGGAAGGGAGGAGCAATGCCCGACAGAACGCCCGCCAACCACTCACATGAACTCTTGTTTTAGTAAGCATTTTCCGACCGTGGGTGAGGTGAAGATATTGGCGAATAGAAAGCTAGTACAGAACTGCGGGTGAGATGAAGATATTGGCGAATAGAAAGCTAGTACAGAACTGCGGGTGAGATGAAGATATTGGCGAATAGAAAGCTAGTACAGAACTGCGGGTGAGATGAAGATATTGGCGAATAGAAAGCTAGTACAGAACTGTGGGTGACGTGAAGATATTGGCGAATAGAGAGCTAGTACAGAACTGCGGGTGAGGTGAAGATATTGGCGAATAGAAAGTTAGTACAGAACTGTGGGTGAGGTGAAGATATTGGCGAATAGAAAGCTAGTACAGAACTATGGGTGAGGTGAAGATATTTGCGAATAGAAAGCTAGTACAGAACTGTGGGTGAGGTGAAGATATTGGCGAATAGAAAGCTAGTACAGAACTATGGGTGAGGTGAAGATATTTGCGAATAGAAAGCTAGTACAGAACTGTGGGTGAGGTGAAGATATTGGCGAATAGAAAGCT